TTCCTGCTTTATCTGTTCTAACACTCCAGTCCTTAAGGTACCTCCAGACTCTTTTACATAATGGCTGTACTAATTCATACTCCAACCAGCATTTCCACTTCTCTGTACTTGTATCTTTATTCTTATCTTTTCATTTTAGTCATAATAATTGCAGGGAAGTGACATCTCATTATGATTTTGACTTGAATTTCCCAGGTGACTGATGATAATGAATATCCATTCACCCACTGGCCACTTACATGGTTTCCCTTGAGGAATTTATCTTACATCTTTTGCCCATTCTAAAATCAGATTGTTATTTTTATCTGCTATTGTGTTGTTTAATTTCCTTTTATATATCCTAGATGATAATCTTGCATCAGATAGTTGGCATGTATTTTCTGTTGTTCAGTTGGCTAATTCTTTGCTTTTTTTTTCTTTTTATCAGTACCAGGGATCGAACTCACGACCGCCTGCTTGCAAGGCAGGTGCTTATGCCGCTGAGCTAAATCCCCAGCCCCTAATTCTTTGCTTTTTTATTTCCCTCTTTTTATGGAAAAAAAGTTGTTCAGTTTAATGTCATAACTTTTGTCTGTTTTATTTGCCTGTACTTTGGTTTTCTAACCAAAAAGAAAAAAACTTTCCCAGACCAGTTTCAGAAAGGATTTCTCCTATGTCTTCGTGTAGCCTCAAAAAATTAAAAACAGAGCTACCATGTTACCCAGCTATAAAATCATGTTGCAGAGATCGCTAAACCCCGTCATATAGCACTAGTCACAGTATCTAAAATATATCACTAACTAAAGTGTCCATAGCATATAAATGAATACAGTAAAACCATGGTTTGTGAGCATAACTCTTTCAAGAAATATGCTTGTAATCAAAACACTTGTATATCAATGCCAAGTTCCCTATAAAGAATAACAGAAACCAGATAGTTTGTTCCACAATGCAAAAATATTCATATAATTTAATATTCTGTAACAGAATACAGAATATTAAAGAAAATACAAAATATGAAGAAATCAAACTGCATTTACCTTTGAAAACCTTCATGGCTGGTGCGAGGGAGAAATGGGAGAGGAGAGTTTTAGAGGGGACAATTTTCACTAAGGTCTGACTGTCTATAGACTCAATGGAATCTTTCCCTTTCCATGCAACTTTGACAAGGAACCTGTCCAATGACAGTTGCTTTTACCTCTTTTTGAGAATTTTGCAGAAATGTGACATTGCAGATTAAACAGAGTCATCATTCACACTGCTAATCTTATTCGATGGTGCTTTTCTACAAAATTCACTTGCATCTTTCTACAAAATTTAGTACTGTTTGCCACATTTTATACATTTTCCTAATCTCATTTGAAGTAAAGAACTTCTCTGCCTTTTTCTCTTCCTCTGCATAGATTCTTGCTGTTGGGAGATAATCACCCACAATAATGGGTAGAGAAAGAAAGGGAGAGAGAGAAAAGGAGGGGGAAGACAAGACAGAAATTGCTCCACTAGATGAATTAAAAGATACAAGAAGTGCAAAGGATAGAAATTCATAGCTGAGAAATATAAACTACTAAAAAAACAAATCAAAATTTTATAACTGAAAGGTACAGCATCGAAAATTTATTACAGAATGGTACAATACCAGATGGCGATGATCAAATAAATGACTGCAAAGTGAAAAGCAAGGAACATAGATAGTGAGCAGAGTTCTGGTGAACTCTGATAAGTTCAAGATTCTAATGCCTATTTCATTCATAGGATTTCCAAAATGACAAGTAAAAGAGATAACAGTTAAAACATTTTTAAAGGAAAAGAGTAGTAAAATTTTCTCAAACGTGATGAATGATTTAGATAGAATAATGCAAGCTCCTCATCAAAATGCAAGCAAAGTAAACTCAAAGAATATCTAGATATAAATTCATCACTAACCACACACAGAAGATTGAGTCTAAACCCAAACTAAAATCAAAATGGATCAAAGACATAACTTTTACAGCAGAAACAATCTTCCAGAAGAGAAAACAGGTAAAGTTCTTGAAGACACAGGCACAGGTAAGGACTTTTTAAAGAGAATATCAATGTCACAACAAATACTACTGAGAATCAGCAAATGGGATCCCGTCAAATATGAAAGCTTCTGCAAGGCAAAGGTAAAAATCAACAGAGTGATTGACAGCCTGCAGAACGGGAAAAAATTTGCCACATATTCTTCAGATCAAATACATAGAAAACTCAGGGCTGAGGATTTAGCTCAGTGGTACAGGTGCCTGCTCAACAAGTGTGAGGTTGTGAGTTAGATCCCCAGTACTAAAAAGTAAAAAACTAACAAAAGTTAGACTCCTCAAAATAAAAGACCCAATCAGACAAATCCTTATCTACATAAAGACACTTCACAGAAGGAGTACAAATGGCCAATAAATACGTGAAAAAAATGTTCAATATGGCTGGCCATTAGAGAAATGCAAATTAAAATCATATTGAGATACTTTCTTACACTAAAAAGAATGATTATCACCAAAACATTGAAATATAACAAATGCTAGTGAAGATGTGGGGAAAGAACTCTTCTACATTGTTGGTGGAAATGTAAACTATTGTAATCTTTATGCAAATCAGTGTGGAGAGTCCTCAAAAATTGAAAATAGAAATTCCATTTGATCCAGTCATCCTCTTTCTCATCCTCTTTCTAAGTATCTTCCATAAAATTGAAAATAATCATATGACAAGAATAAATGCATGCTCATTTTTTTATTTAAAAGAGAAAAACATAGAAAAGAAAAACAAATAGCAAAAGACACAACAAATCCAAAACAGTAACAGTGTAGGCCTTCAAAACAAGATGATAAGAATTTAACAATGGTTGTTATATTGCATATTGTCATCTTCAAAAGGGTTGCTTGGATTACCAGATATAGACATGCAAAATTGATCTAATCATATGATTATTAACTGTTCTTTTCCCAGAACTAACAGAATTAGTACTATAGTCATCTTAGCTATCTTGTGTGTGTGTGTATATATATACACACAAGCTTTGTCCTTTTCCTTTCCCCTTCCTTTTGTCCTTCTTTCCCCATCCCACTTACTTTTACCCTTTGAGGAATTTCTTACCTTTACACAATTTACACAATATTTATTGTAGATTTTGGATCTTATTTGCTCTTTCAGTTTTTTATGCTAGGGAGACAATATGATATCTACACGTGTGAGTTTTATTTATTTCACTTATGATTATGGTTTCAAATTGCATCCATTTACCTATAAAAGCCTCAATGCAATCCTTATTTATAACTGAGTAGCACTCCATTGTGCATACCCATGTGTAGAGTAGCACAGTTTAGAATAGCTAGATCTTGGAAACAGTGTATATGTCCATCATCAGATGAATACATAAGGGAAATGTGGTATTTATATGCAATGAAGTATTACTCTGTCATAAAAAAGATAAACTTGAAGCATTCATAGGTAACTGGATGCAACCTCAGAATATAAAGTTAAGTGAAATAAGTCAGACATGCAAGCTTAAATACTGCATGGTTTTCTCGTATGAGAAAATATTTTAATGTGTATATCAACTTATTTCACTTATACTACTAGTTTCTCTTAGGTCACTGAAAAGAAAGTTCTATGCATTATGTTTTTCTTTTGTAAAAGAGAATCTTTTTCTCTATGTCTTAAAGGGAGTAACTACTTTAAACATAAAGAAACACTGCATTAACTATTGTTTTCTTATTTTTTTGTAAATTTCATTACACTTTTGCATAAAATAATGAAATAAATTCATTACAATCATATTTCTAAGACCCAAGTACATAAATAACACCTGAAAGTCTCTAGAGAAAACTGTCATTGATTCTCACAGAGCAGACTCCAAACTAGGTGACCCCATTTCAGAAATCATTAGCAAGCACTAAGTTTTAAGATCTATGCCCAGCAGCATGACTACATCAACAATAACGTACTAAAGTTATACACTAAATTTCCAATGTCTCTGCACAAGAAAATGACAGCTACGAGAGGTGATGGGTGTGTTAATTAGCTTGATTTAATCACTTCACACTGTACACCTATAGCAAAACATTTCAATCTGCCCTAGAAATGTATTTTATTGTTGTTGATTAAAATAGTTAATTAAATGAATTGTTCAGTAAAGAAATCATAAGAGCAAGAATATAGAGATGTAACAACATTAAAGTGCTGAAGAAGAGACTATCAAGCCAGTATATAGTCTAATATGTAAATAAAAATGGATTTCAGCAATGAAGACAATGTATTACAGAAAGATACAGGATTAGTTACCAGAAAATTTGCTAGACAATCCATGCTAAAGTAATTCTGCAAGCTGAAAGGAAATTCTACCAAGGAGTAAATTAGAAAGTGCAGAATATTATAGATAAAAATAACGTAAAATATTGATCACTTCTAAAAATACTAACTTTTCCTTATATCTTTTTAAGAAAACATGAGGAAAGCAAAGGAAAAAGGAAGTAAGGATTTAGATTCATCCACATAAAAGGGTATAATTAGTAAAGAAATTGATGTGACTTTAAATTCACTGACTGGATCCTGACATTTTATTGATTTGAAACCACCACCCCAAACATTCAGAACTGAAGTAAACTTAGTCCTGGAATATATGTAAGGAATGCTCTGGGTACCGTGGCACTATGAGGAAGATATTTACCTTGAGGCAATTAGGATTTAATCCTTTGTGATTTTAGTTCTAAATTACTTCAGTTCTTTTATTTAGCCAAACTTTCTCTTGTTTGTTTTGCCGTTCAGAGAAAGAAAGATGATGGTGAGTTTCAAACCTTGATCCACTCACACTAAAGATAATCACTGCACCAAATCTACTTTTAATAACAAGCAGGCACGAGCACCTTCACCTTCACTTAGAATAAGTAACATTCCCTTCATAGTGTTCGTCTATGTAGAACTCTATTATTTGCAAAGTGCTTCAACTTACTTTGTAAGTTCCTGTTTGTTTTTCCAAATTGTCCAAGGTTTTCTGTAAATTCTTTTTTCAGAGCAATGGAAGAAATGGAAGAGAACAGAAGGTAAGGATTTTATTTTCCAGTTTTTAAAATAATTAAGTGTATTGGTATATTTTAGAGATACATAATGTTTGCATTCATCATAGGGAATCTACCTGTGCATATCATATCTTAGTTCTTCTTTTATTTTTCCCCATTCTGGCTCTTCCCTTCAACTCCTTCCCCCAATATACAAAGCTTTGTTTCCATGTTTTAACCTTTTCGCATTTTTTCTTTTCCTTCCTTCCTTTCACGCTCACCCTTCCTTAGGTCCCATCCCATTTGAACATTTTTTTTTCCTTTTTCACAATATCTACTATCCATTTTGATTCTTATTTACACTCTCTGTTTCTCACACCAGTAAAACAATTGGTGGGACGGTAGACTGCTGTGGCCACTGTGGAAATAGTGTGGAGATTCTCAAAAAACTAAAACTGGGGTACCAGTGGGCCTGCCTATACTCCTTCTTGGTATTTTCCCAAAAGAATGAAAATCACCATACCACAGTGATACGTGCACACCCATATTTATAGCAGCACCATTTGTAATAGCTAACTTTTGGGAAAAACAGCCCAAACGCCCATCACTCAATGAGTGTATAAGGAGATGTGGGTTTTTTATACTACTCAGCCATTTTGTGCTACTCAGTCATGAAAAGGATAAATGTGAGACATTGCTAGGTAAATGGATGCACCTTGAGACCACACTGAAATAAGTCAGACACACATGTAAACAGCTTGTTTAATTTTAATAAGAGTTTTACAGTTTGAAGCTCTTTCATTTCAATCTTTGATTTCTTTTGATTCCTTTTCAGTAAATACTATCAATGTAATGAAACTAAAAATATAAATGAGATGCTCATCTATATGATTTAATAATGGAGATGCCTTTGCTGACATGGTGTATTTCTCCAAATTCTGGAGGACTTACCAGCATGTTTCAGTCACTTAGACAGCACAGTGTAGGAGTATCGCTTTACCCTCTTTTTGTTATACTGGAACACTTTTCTCTAAAATTAAAAAATACAGATATCCTATACCTTCTCCATTAGAAGATAGTAAATAAAACTGGAAGAAAGTAATTCATAAGATCCAGGTAACACAGGATTAAGTTAATGAAAAGTAACTGGAAACTTTTTTTAATGTTTTACTCTGTTTATCTGATAATGTGAAAATTTTATTATGATAATGAAAATGAATAGAGTAATATGAGATTCCATATGCGTAAAAATAGTTTAAAAATTATAAGAGACATTACATGCCCGAAATATCAGCACATTTCAGAGCATATTCATAGAGTCACGAGGGAGTAAATTTTCCTGTATAAACTATGGAATATCTTACACAAAATAATGTAAAAAGCAATTGAGAATAAGAGTACATTGCAGAGTTTGGTACAAATCCAATGATAACAAATTATATAAATTTTCCCAATAGGACGTTTACTGCTACATAAACTTAGTAATCTGGGAAGTTTCACAACATACACAGAAGAGTTGTAGTCAACTACATCATCTATCTGAGACTTGAGTTGGTCTGAAATTTTTATATGCTGCACCTTAGATGTGCTCCAAAACAATCAGCTCTTTACCATCTTTTTTACACCATATAATCTCAAAGTGAAGCTTAATTTTCCTTAAACCAAATGCAGAGACTGAGGATGTGGACTGAATTTTGAAGAGAGCTCACAGCTACAGAGTAACTCATTAACAGCTTCAATTTTTAAAAAATCGTTCAAATTTATCCATAATGCTAAGGGCACCCAGCAATACATAAACCAAGATAAACTATTTTATTGCACAAAGTCATCAACTGTTAATAATTATTAGAGGATTCAAGTACACACATAGGACCCAGAAATATTAGTGTATCAGTCTCACGTTTCACCTGCACATGCAAATGATGTCAGGATCCTTCATGGTCATCAACCAAAAATCAATAAACAATAAATCGCAACCTGAAGTCAGATTTACTTTGGATAAAATTCCGACTGTGGAATGAGCATCTCCGAAAACTAACAGACAATGTGTCTTTTCTCTAATCTTACTTTCCTCTTCCAAATGTGTATAGTAATTAATTTTTGTCCACTTTAGATCATGAATATCATAAAGCCTGGTATGGAGAATCCAAAGAGTATCAATGATTTGTCAATACATTTTGCTTTCCATTTGTTTCACTCTGATTCTTGTGTATTTTTTATTTTTCAGATCAATTTAGGAAAGTGCATGTTAAAATTTCATGACATTTCCTGTACACAACCTGATCTTCCTAAAGTAACTTATGACTACTTCCTTACTTTTCCATTCCTCTTCCTGCCTTCTCATGCCTCTTTCATTCTCCACAAAAATATCTTTAATATTTATGTTTTCTTATAACTATAAATTCATTAACCTCTCTCTCTCTCTCTCTCTCTCTCTCTCTCTCTCTCTCTCTCTCTGCCACCGTCTCTTGCTCTGTCTCTTTTCCTAATTCTGTGCTTCCCCATAAATTAATTCACTTTGCCTCTAAAATGATTAGTATGTGATCCTATGGATTGCAATGTATATTATGGCCAAGATTTGCATCTTACTACTAACTGGAGAAAATAGACATGTTTTCATGGAATTGCTTGCATTTACCTATCTTCATGGAAGAAATTGTCTACGTAAATCCTTTTTGTTTTGTTTTTAAAATGAGTGATTTTCATGTTGTGGTTAAATTATAACTTCATTGTCATTAGATGCACGTATCTTAATTTTTATTAAATTCAATTTATACACATTTCTATCATTTCTAAGAACCCACTCCAAAATCAAATAGTATCAAGAAATATCCCATTGTACAATTTGGAGAGTTTTATAATTTACTGTTTGATTGAAATGTTTGATTTATTTTCAGTAAAATTATCAATGTCAGAATGCTAAAAATATGAATCAGAGATTCATCTATATGATTTAATAATGGAAATATTGCTAGCTTGGAGGAGTATTTCTGAAGGCGATTTGAGATTATTTTAAGTAGTTGGATAAGACAGCATAGTAATTTGAAAGCAATGTTTTATTCTTTTTTTTATCCTAATTTTTTAAATTTTTTCTTTAATTAAGACAAACATAAGAAATGACTAAATATTTTTTTAAAAAGAATAAGGGGGAGATTGAGATAAAACAGGACATAACAATATAACAATAGAGGTCAAAGCATGACTGTTTCAGCAACCTAGTACTTCACCACCACAACCCGACTTAATAGTAGTTACCATAGTGTCTGTCTTTTTCCTTGAAATATTTGGATAAAACTTCATATACTCTAGCTTCAAATATTTCCATATCAAGAAGCCCAGAATAAAGCCTTTCTAATTAATGAGTGAAAACTTTATAAGGCTTCAAGGCCACCTAATGAGATCTGTCTGGAGATTTCTCAAAAAGTTGGGACTGGAAATCCCATTTATTCCAGCTATTCCACTTCTAGGCATATTCCCAGAAGAACTGAAAGCATCATACCACAGTGATATATGTGCAATGTTTTATTGTAAAGTACTCTTGAATGAACAAGAAGTCACTAAGAAGCAAGCCCTCCCTGGGAATCAGTGCCATTCATGGGTCACTGGGGGTCATCCAGATGCCAGCCCCTCCTCCACATAGGCTGGGAAACAAGAGCCAAACCACCCACCAATCTCTCACTCCCTACCCCACCCATCGCCATAAGCGACCAGGTGATCAGAAGAAACACAGGCTGTGATGATAGCCATGGAGGTAAAATACAATTTGATGCTTATAGTGTTTGGAATTTCACTGATTTTTCAAGTCTAAAGTCAGTAGTCTGATCATCTATTCAGAGGATAACAGTGCACAATGTGGCATCTCACGGGGATCACCTTCTGAAGGTGGTTGGCACAATTAACTCCTTATCATCTTGTTTTGAAGTCCTGTATCATTTTCGTTGTTATCTTGGGCTGGGTTTTAGTCTGTTTTTTTTTTTTTAATTTTACTATAACCAATGACATTGACAGCTGTTTCAAGGATGACAAGATCTATTGTGGTAGCCACTTCAGGTTTAGTCTTATCTTGTTTGGAAGTCATTTATTGCGTTCATTACTTTGTTTTATTGGTTCTATTCTGTTTTGTTTGATTTTCACCAAGTCTGAAGATCCCTGCAGCTATTTTAAAGACAATAAGAGGTATTAGGGTAACCATTACTGATTTCCTATTATCTTGTTTTGAAGTCCTGTGTCACTTAACACTGATTTGTTTTAATTAGCTTTATTCTGTCTTATTTTGCTTAGTTTTATTCTCTTTAAAATAAAAAAGTTTAAAAAAATAAAAATAAAGTATTTTTGATCTACTGAAAATGTTTTTTTCTAAAACTTAAAAATATAGATAACATTCTCTCCACTGGTATATATTAAATTATGGAGAAGTAAATTGTCACATCTAGGATTCATTACTGTAAGCAAATAAAAAATAGCAACTAGAATCTTAGTGTTTTACTTCTAAGTTGAAGGCTATCTGATTATGTGAGAATTTCACAATGATAATCAAAATGAATAAAACAGAGAATGACAGAGAGGGCATAAGCTAAAAGCGTACTTTAAAAATTAGAAGAGATAGTAAATAAGTGAGATATTAGTACGTATCAGAACAAATTTTGAGGAACATAACATGAAACAGCGTGTGACGTCTCCCATATAAATCATATCCTCAAGAATGAGAAATGGGATAGGACAACAGAGGTGGATTTGAATAAAAACAAAGACATACACGTTAACATGCACATTTAACCACTTCCCAAGATGAATGCAAAATACATGAATGGCAATCAAATACAAGTAAAATTTTTTAAAAATTTAAAAAGAAAACAACATGGAGGTTCTTCACTAATTAATGTAAAAGGCAATGGACTAAGAGAGCATTGTGGCATTTGGTGCAAGGGACCAGTGACAGTAAGTTCCATGAGTTTCCCATGAGATATTCACTGGTGCATATCTTAGCTAACTAGAAAGCCGCAGAACACACAAATGACAGTTCATTAACACTTCATTTTTGGGAC